ACTACCACCAAGATCTGCACCAACGGCGGCTCCAGGCAGGCTCTCGCCCTGACCCTTCTGCGCTCACCGTCGCGACCCTCTTACTCGTCAAGACTTAACGGCAGCTACGGAGACCGCAGCTGCCCACTGTGCCGTTGACGGCCCGGTATAAGCACGACGCTAGAGCGCCATCCATTTTCAGGGCTAGTTGCTTCGGCAGGTGAGTTGTTACACACTCCTTAGCGGATTCCGACTTCCATGGCCACCGTCCTGCTGTCTTAAGCAACCAACGCCTTTCATGGTTTCCCATGAGCGTCGATTCGGGCGCTTTAACCGGGCGTTTGGTTCATCCCACAGCGCCAGTTCTGCTTACCAAAATTGGCCCACTTGGCACTCAGATCCATTAGAAGTTGTGCAGAACACAATTCTAGCTCTCCGGCCTCATCTTACGAGCAGGCCGGAGATCTCACACATTTAAAGTTTGAGAATAGGTTGAGGTCGTTTCGGCCCCAAGGCCTCTAATCATTCGCTTTACCGCATGAGACTCAGAGTCTTGAGCGCCAGCTATCCTGAGGGAAACTTCAGAGGGAACCAGCTACTAGATGGTTCGATTAGTCTTTCGCCCCCTATACCCAGCTCAGACGATCGATTTGCACGTCAGAATCGCTGCGGACCTCCATCAGGGTTTCCCCTGACTTCATCCTGGCCAGGCATAGTTCACCATCTTTCGGGTCCCAGCGTGTACGCTCTAGGTGCGCCTCGCCTTGCCTTGCGGAAAGATCGAGACGCCCCGGGAGTGCACGGCGTCAACCAGACGATATGAACACCGGTCCTCCCTAAGGCATTGGATAAACTCCGCTGCCCTTCACTCTCATTACGCTTACAGGATTACTAACGAGTCCCAACAACTCGCGTACACGTTGGACTCCTTGGTCCGTGTTTCAAGACGGGTCGGATAAGCACCCAAAGCTTAAGCGCCGCCGACCGGTGTATGGAACGGTGCAAGAACATGCTGCCAACAATGACAACAGCAAGATGGCCGAACCATAGCCCGTGCACACCTCAAACCATTGATCACTTGCTGCATGTCTGCACGCCCACCTAGAGGCGGTCCACCACCATCATGTCATACCGTCGTCTGATCGGTTGGGAATTCAAGGGTCTCAAGACACAAGTGCCTCAAGTCTGCCACCCTGACCCTTAAACCGCCAGACGACAGGTCGCGACGTCCTACAGGAAAAGAAGTGCGGTCTCCTGTTATTGGACACAGCATTGCACAGAAGTGTGAAGGAGAATGAACACAAGTGCTCACATCAATCCCATCTTTGTACAGCACGGCCAACTACAGAGAGACGTGAATCTTTCCTTTCGAAATTTCGGGTCTTTTCCGTTTACCCCTGAGCGGTTTCACGTACTCTTGAACTCTCTCTTCAAAGTTCTTTTCAACTTTCCCTCACGGTACTTGTTCGCTATCGGTCTCGTGGTCATATTTAGCCTTAGATGGAGTTTACCACCAGCTTAGGGCTGCACTCTCAAGCAACCCGACTCTAAGGAGGTATCCACCCGACAACATGAATGGTCCTACAGGCCTGGCACCCTCTGCGGGCGATGGCCCCATTCAAGATGGACTTGGACTCATTCATAGTTTTGTCGGGATAATTGGACCCTCCCAAACGCTACATTTCCCAGTGACTTGTGGCCACGGGATTCAGCGCTGGGCTGATCCCTGTTCGCTCGCAGCTACTAAGGGAATCCCTGTTGGTTTCTTTTCCTCCGCTTAGTGATATGCTTAAATTAGGCGGGTAATCTGGCCTGATCTGAGGTCAGTAAAATGAATTGGTATGGTTCAAAGTGTGTGTGGAACACATGCACAAATCACCACAGAGTATTTTAAGCTTGCATTACTCACTTGACATAGTATTATCATATTGAAATTCAACAAACTGTTTTTCATCCAGTCAGATTGAATGCTGCAATCATACAGACGAACCTCGAAATCAAAGGCTCAAGCCCTCTGATGGCAATAGTGCATACACAAACTGGCAGTCTGGTTTCAGCTATGAACCAGCCAGTGGAATGCAGCTTCTACACACATTTGGTACACACACTGGAGGCAATATTTCTATTATCATCGACAGTGCTTGACCAAATGTGCAAACTCATCTTATTTCAAGCATTGCTCTGTCAATCATTGAGCATGGAAAGGTGTATTCATCGACCAGCATGCAACAGCTTGCAGGGATGCAGACACACTCTCAACAAACAACATTGAATGTAGAGCAAATTACTCACAATAACATGGCTTCAACTTCATTGAAAGACATTTAAACACACAACTGCAGCAGCACACACATGTCACTGGGACTGCTGTGTGCCGGCATGTGCATGTCAGAGTCTTTTGTCAATGACAAGCCAATGCTGAGCCCCACAAATGTCTGTCAAGAATCTTGCAAAGTGGAATCCAATCAACACAATATGAAGACTCCATTGACAAACACAGTTACAGGCTTTTATGATTACCGACCCTCAGACAGACATGGCCCTCGGGATAGAATCCCAAAGGGGCGCAATGTGCGTTCGAAATGTCAATGTTCATGTGTCCTGCAGTTCACAGTTTGTCGCGCATTTTGCTGCGTTCTTCATCGACCCACGAGCCAAGTGATCCACCACTCAGGGTAATTAAACATTTTGGTGGCTAGTCATTACAATGTATGGTGGCTATTTTGTCATTAAGTTATTCACACTAGGCAAATATGAGGGTCTCGCCTAGCCGACAAGACGAATCCCTCGAGTGTGGCAACAATTTGCAGTCAACTTGCCAATGGTGAACCTGTCATACAATGATTATGATACACACTAAACATTGAAATGACTCTAGACTCGAACCACAGGCTTGCTTCACTACTGCTGCCTTTTTGTCATGATTGCGAGCTACACATTCATTTACAACTAGGTAAGTAAAGGTGCTACAGCTACAAGCGAGATCAAGACAAGCAGTTTGTGGCCGATGTTAGTCAGACCAGACCAGGATGTGACAACAATTTGTTAGTGAAACCACCAATAGTGAATCTGTCACACAATGATGATGATACACACTCAACATTGGTATGACTCTAGACTCGAACCAAAGGCTTGTTTGACCACTGCTGTCACTATCAATAGTCTTGTGACTTAACAGCAAGCACACAGGATTTCACATTCTATTGAAATGCGTTAATGATCCTTCCGCAGGTTCACCTACGGAAACCTTGTTACGACTTTTACTTCCTCTAAATGATCAAGTTTGGTCATCTTTCCGACAACATCGGGAGCGGTAAACCGCCTCCGCGCACCGGTCCGAAGACCTCACTAAATCATTCAATCGGTAGTAGCGACGGGCGGTGTGTACAAAGGGCAGGGACGTAATCAACGCGAGCTTATGACTCGCGCTTACTGGGAATTCCTCGTTCATGGGGAATAATTGCAAGCCCCAATCCCAAGCACGAAGGAGGTTCAGCGGGTTACCCGGTCCTTTCGGACAGGGAAGACACGCTGATTCCTTCAGTGTAGCGCGCGTGCGGCCCAGGACATCTAAGGGCATCACAGACCTGTTATTGCTCAGTCTCGTGCGGCTAGAAGCCGCCTGTCCCTCTAAGAAGAGATATGATCGCTGGTAGCACGATTGCTGATACCAGATACGTCTAGTTAGTAGGCTAGAGTCTCGTTCGTTATCGGAATTAACCAGACAAATCGCTCCACCAACTAAGAACGGCCATGCACCACCACCCACCGAATCAAGAAAGAGCTATCAATCTGTCAATCCTTCCGGTGTCCGGGCCTGGTGAGTTTTCCCGTGTTGAGTCAAATTAAGCCGCAGGCTCCACTCCTGGTGGTGCCCTTCCGTCAATTCCTTTAAGTTTCAGCTTTGCAACCATACTTCCCCCGGAACCCAAAAGCTCTGGTTTCCCGGAAGCTGCCCGCCGGGTCATCGGAAAAGACGCCGGCGGATCGCTGGCAGGCATTGTTTATGGTTAGAACTAGGGCGGTATCTGATCGCCTTCGAACCTCTAACTTTCGTTCTTGATCGACGGGAACATACTTGGCAAATGCTTTCGCTTCGGTCCGTCTTGCGACGATCCAAGAATTTCACCTCTAACGTCGCAATACGAATGCCCCCGCCTGTCCCCATTGATCATTACCTCAGATTCCGGAAACCAACAAAATAGAACCGAGGTCCTATTCCATTATTCCATGCACACAGTATACAGGCGTGACAAGCCTGCTTTAAGCACTCTAATTTGTTCAAAGTAAACGTGCCGGCCCGCCTCGACACCCGATTAAGAGCACCGCGGCGGGATTATGAAAGTGGCCCGAAACCAGAGCTGCACTAGGGCAAAGCCCAGCACAACAAAGATCCCTGGCACACCACCGACAAGACGTCCCGCAAAACGCCAGTTGGCACCGACATGCGGTGAACCGGCGTCGAAGGACACAGATCCAACTACGAGCTTTTTAACCGCAACAACTTTAATATACGCTATTGGAGCTGGAATTACCGCGGCTGCTGGCACCGGACTTGCCCTCCAATTGATACTTGTACAAGGATTTAGAGTATACTCATTCCGATTACGGGGCCTCGGATGAGTCCCGTATCGTTATTTTTCGTCACTACCTCCCCGTGCCGGGAGTGGGTAATTTGCGCGCCTGCTGCCTTCCTTGGATGTGGTAGCCGTTTCTCAGGCTCCCTCTCCGGAATCGAACCCTGATTCCCCGTTACCCGTTACAACCATGGTAGGCGCAGAACCTACCATCGACAGTTGATAAGGCAGACATTTGAAGGATGCGTCGCCGGTACTGAGACCGTGCGATCTGCCAAAAGTTATTCAGAGTCACCAAGGAGTACGGCGCAGTTGGGCAAGCCAACTGACGTCGATTGGTTTTGATCTAATAAAAGCGCCCCTTCCATTTCTGGTCGGGACTCTGTTTGCATGTATTAGCTCTAGAATTACCACAGTTATCCAAGTAATGGATTGTACGATCCAAGGAACCATAACTGATTTAATGAGCCTTTTGCGGTTTCACCTTAATGTGGCTTGTACTGAGACTTGCATGGCTTAATCTTTGAGACAAGCATATGACTACTGGCAGGATCAACCAGGGAGCTTGTATTTGCTCTGCTAGTAACAGTTTCAGCCAACCCACTGTGTTACTCTTACTCTGCTGAACAAATGTATGCTGAGAATCAAGATCAACTATCGAATTCAATCTACACATTGACCAGACTCGAATCTGCATTCATAGTATAGCATTTTGGAGAGTGGGTGGTTTACTGTTCTAGTACAATGAGGGCGAACACTCACAAGTGTGAGTTGTCATCCCTCAAACTGTGATTATAATCAACAAACTGTGAAGTACTATTGTGATCATCAAACCAATAGCAACAATGGAAGCCACTTTTGCCAAGGCGTGAATCTGTCATGTAATGATGATGATACACACTCAACATTGAGATGACTCTAGACTCGAACGACAGAAGGCGTGGAACCTGCTGCTGCTGTGTATGGTGACGATTTGACAACAAACAGACACAGTCTGAGATTATTTGTCAGCAGCTCATGATTCGTTGTGTTCATCACATACCAATAGCAACAATTATAACCACTTTCGCCAAAGCATGAATCTGTCATGTAATGATGATGATACACACTCAACATTGTAATGACTCTAGACTCGAATGGCAATGGCATGGCAAATGCTGCTGTGTATGGTTATGACTTGACCAACGGTCATGATCTGTGATTGTTTGACCACAGCCAGTGATGTTTCTGTTGTACTCCTCAGACCACTAGCAACCACAATAACCAGTTTTGCCAAGGCGTGAATCTGTCACATGTAATGACCAAAGACTCTAACGACAAATGGCATGGCATATGATACTGTGCATGGTATGATTTGACAACTAACAGACACTGTCTGTGATTTTTGTTTATTTTCTTCTCATCTCTCAAATCTCTTTATAGGCTAGTCATGTTGACTGAGCTCGCTTTTCAAACTCTTATAATGAGAATGAAG